AAAAATTTCTTGAGAATAGAAAACTTTTTATGTCGTACAATTAACTCACCGAGAAAATTACCACCCAAAGACGCAAACTTCTCAGTCAATATCCCTTTAAATTTCCAAAATTTTCTCAAATTTTCCCAAAATTTCCCAAATTTTCCCAAATTTTCCGAAATTTTCCGACATTTCCGAATTTTTTCCAAAATTCCGGGAATTTTTTTCTTCTCACCAACTCTTTTCTCGAAAAAGTTCGTCTTTCCTTGTAACGAAATCATCGTCATCCAATCAAATGGATTAGCACTATTATATATCTTTGCATACCCAAGCGCCTGAAAAAAAATCTTCATAGTGCGGATCAAAGTTTTCAGCTAGGAAAAGTTGGCAACTGTATTGTTTCGCGTAGAACGTTTATGACTAACACGCTCTTCATGAGCACGAATGGTATAATCGTTCGTGAAGTTTTGTTTAAAACGTTTATATTGTTACGGATAGTTTATAAACACAATCGTTATAATCGTTCGTGAAGTTTTGTTTAAAACGTTTATATTGTTACGGATAGTTTATTAACACAATCGTTATAATCGTTCGTGAAGTTTTGTTTAAAACGTTTATATTAACACAGCTTCGAAAAATAACGTTTCCCATGGGCGATGTCGCAAACTCTCATAGGAAAGGAGTCAGGAGGAAATTACATTCCCCCCAGGGTTTAATAACAATGGGGAAAATGTTACTAATGTGATGACTTCATTTACTGATTGAAGAATGTGCTCCTAGCCGTACGTGGAAAATTCAAAATAGTTATAAAACATTATAGTTTCCCTGTTTCTTACCACTAGCAATCGATCCGCGACGAACTCTATATATCGTCCCATCAGCTCAGCGTTCATCCCGATAAGCCCAACAGGAAGGGCATCGGTGATGAACTCCCTTTCCACGTTTACCGCACTCTGAACAAAAAGAAAATTCACAACGAGAAAAGATTTTCCGACTCGCCGAATTTCACGAGGAGAAAAACCCAAAAAATTTACCAAAAAAATTCAAAAAAAAGAAAACCGAAAAAAGGGAAAAACTTGAAGCACCGAAACTCACGTAAAACTTCAAAAAAAGAATTTCCTGAAATTTTTCTTCAGAATTTTCATACCATCACCCACCCTGACAATGTCTTCAACTCTTTCCTCGGGAAGTCTCGTAAATTTCAACATGTTATATAACAGGCACCCAAAATCAGTGTGGAGACCTGAGGAAAAAAATGGGGAAAATTTTTTCCTGAAAATTTCGGAAAAAAATATTTCTCGTCAACTTCACGTGTTGCAGCTGAGACTTTGTGTTGAAATATATGTTACCTCTCCTCAGATGAGCTAATTATCAAAATTTGGGTAGAAGTGTACAAAAATTAACAAGAATTTCCTAAAAATTTCCTAAAAATTTCCAGATTGTCACCAACTATTTTCCCACACTGCCAAAAATCATTGATTTTCGGAAAAAAAATATTCCTTAACTTCACTACCTATATAGAAAAAGCCAAAAAAATAAGAAAAAAAAATAAATTCTTAGCTGAAATACAGAAATTCATGAAAAAATTTTCGTAAAAAACTATAAAAAAATTTCCCCTCGTTTCTCACCTTCATCTCTTGAAATGAGCTCATTGGAAAATGTCAGACCCGGCATCAGCCCCCGTTTTTTCAACCAAAAAAGTGCGCAAAAAGATCCGGAAAATAATATACCCTCCACGCACGCGTATGCAACCTGAAAGGAAAAAAATAATTTCGCAAAAAAATGTGGAAAAATTTACACGTTCAACTACATATTTCGAAAATTCCTGGAAAATTTGAATTATTTTTGCACACTTTTACCCGAAAATTCGTGCGTAAATTTCCAAAAAATCAGTGTAAAAAATTATAAGTGTTTCCGAAAATTATAAAACTCGATTTGAAACTATATTGCCATAAACAGTGTGAAAAAAGTAATTTTCCGAAACTGTGATAGCGACAAGCCAATACGAAAATTCTGAAGAATTTTTTTCATTTTTTTCCTCAGCTGAGCTCGTAACTTTTCTCACTACCTAAACGAAAATTTCCCAAAATTTCCATATTTACTTGTCACTGTAAAATTTTCGTTTTTGATTTTTATTACATTCCTACCGAATTTCCATTAGCTTGTGAGAGAACTTACGACCTCAGCTGAGGAAAAAAATCGGAAAAAAATTGATTTTTCATACCAATCTTTCAGCAAAACAGTTATCATCGTTGATCCACGCCAAAGCCCATTCGGCTTTGTGCTGAACTGATGGTATTGTTTCGATGGCTTCGAAAATTCTCTCCTTCTCCTGAGCATCCTCGATGAACGTGTCTATTAACAACGAGTATCTGGCAAGATTCGGACCTACTTTGAATCTTTAGTTCAGCAACCCCCAAAAATATCTTTGCGGTGCAAAGTCAAGATTTTCATTTTCGCGAAAAATATTCATCAACATGATAACAATGTGAACCGATTGACACCAACGTTTTAGAAGCGTTCCCAAATCTATAATCGTTTTCTCAGATATCGGAAATATAAATATAAATAATTCTTTGGTTTGCATTGTAGATCATTCACATGAGTACTTGTGTATTTTTCACCCGTCTTAAAACGTTCGTGAACGATGGTGATACTACACAGTAGAACTTCACTCATTTAACCGTTTTCAGATACTGAAATTGGAGATATTGTAAATTTTCCTAAGAAAAAATACCTATTTTTAATAACGAAAA